CTGATCATCACATTTGAATAAAATTTGGTACAAAAATGCTCTAGGACAATATACAGGCCTGATTAATTTTGGGTTAACATTTGTTCATATTAATTCTTTAATTAGCATAATAATTCATAATTTTTTTGTTCTGTTCTGTTCATATTAGTTACCTGATTTACATAATTAGTTTTCAGCTTTTCCATCAATATCTCATGTACAAGTAATTTTGAATTAATTTTTAATGTATCTTCAATACTCTCAGCACACGAGAGTTCTTTCTAAGCTTTCTTTGATTAGCTTTATGATAAATCAATATTATTAAAAAAATATGTTTACATCCATATTGTATTTATAAGAATGAATCAGCTATACAGTGTACTGTGAAATCTGTATTAGAAACCACGGCTTCTATTAAAATGTTACAATACAACAAAAAGGATGCGGCTTCCATTAGAGCATCTACACATATGAGAAATTATGATTTTGGTTCTCAATTATTCAAAAAGAATGGGTGCGTCTTCTATCAGGAATGCGGCTTCTAATACAGATTTGATGGTACTACTCTGACAGCTTATACAATGTATGTACAACTACAATGTATCAACAGCTGCAAATTTGTATTAACAAAGGCCCAACCATCAAAGTAAACTTGTTCACAGTTTTAAAAACATAGTTTTAAAGTTGCTACAGTGGTCTACACTATGATTTTACAGTACTGTAGAATACTTTATTTTCACTTAGAATTTATTCTCGCTATTTTCATTGAAGGGATGCTTCAGTGAAAATGAAATCCAGTGAATATACTTTTTTTTCCTATGTCTCACATTTAACTCGTCAAAAATCAATGAAAATAAATTCCATACAAAACACCCAAAAAGCTTTTTCAGCGAAAATTAATTCCAGCGAAAATAAAGTATTTTTATAGTAATCTATTGTACTTTATTGTGCACTCTGACAGAACTGATTTTGTAGGGAAATTGAATCCCCCAAAATCAAGTTCAGTCAGCTTGTTGACTGCTGGAAAGAAAATATAAAAAGAATTAAATTTTATATAAAATTGTATGCAACTGTATTGGTGACTTGAGGCACAAAGTGTTGTGGCCCTTGATTTACTTCATACAATGTATATACACTCATTTTGTTTATAAAATTTGATGGCAATGGCTGTTAAGATAGATAGATTTGAAAATTCATATTTTTTCCCTCTATTGCAGGTTATCCAAACCACGAAGATAACTTTTTTGTAGAGGCAGGCCCAGCTGTTAGATTGTGGTGCAATGCACTCAATGAGGTGGGTAGCAAGCCTTATCATGATCAACTAACTATTTAAAGGGGAACTACTCAATCCCATGGATTGCACCAAAGAATCATGGGACACTATTGTTTATGTTGTTTACAATGTTAATTTATCTTTTGTTATCCATTGTTATTTTAATCCAGAAAGTAAATTTGTTGTGAGATTAGGCTTAACTGGAAGGTGCCCCTTTAACGTTTAACAAAACCTCACTTTCTGCTGAGAAATCCTCCCCTATTCACAATGAATATCCCAGTGAAATCGCAATGAATATCCCAGTGAAATCTCAATGAATATCCCAGTGAAATCACAATGAATATCCCTGTAAAATCGAAATGAATATGCCAGTGAAATCGCAATGAATATCCCAGTGAAATCGCAATGAATATCCCTGTAAAATTGCAATGAATATCCCAGGGAAATCGCAATGAATATCCCAGGGACAACGCAATGAATATCCCAGTGAAATCGCAATGAATATCCCAGTCAAATCGCAATAAATATCTCAGTCAAATCGCAATAAATATCTCGGTCAAATCGCAATGAATATCTCAGTCAAATCGCAATGAATATCCCAGTGAAATTGCAATGAATACCCCAATGAAATCGCAATGAATATCCCAGTGAAATCGCAATGAATATCCCAGTGAAATCGCAATGAATATCCCAGTGAAATCGCAATGAATATCCATGTAAAATCGCAATGAATATCCCAGGGAAATCGCAATGAATATCCCAGTGAAATCGCAATGAATATCCCAGTGAAATCGCAATGAATCGCAATCGCAACGCAACATATCACTTGATCTTTAATATGCATACCTGTATTATCTCAGGGACATGGACATGTTATAATGAAGGCATTGGACAAGAGATGTGACAAACACAACGGCATTTGGAGAATCAAAAATCATAATTAACGCTGCGATGAAATGATTAAAGGGCGGTGGTCGTCGCGCCACGCACGCGCGAGATTTATGGGTCTCGTATAAACAAAGATTCGCAGATCAACGAATACAAACTGAGACGTTTCCAAGCTTAATTAGGTAATTTTTAGGTGTTTGAAAGGTATCGAAGGAGTCACCAATGGTTATTCAGTGCAAGTCGCGCCCAGGTCAAACCTCATACTTGTGATTTCCGTGCAAATGTCACACGTGACAACCACTGCGCTTTAACATATGACATCAGTTTGACCCTACAGAGGCACTTGGGTTATACAATAAAAGAATTTTCAGACAATTTCGAATAATGACTATCGAAAAGTGATTTGCCAACCTTCTTGAAAATAGCATAATTCAACTAAAAAATACAATAGTTTCTAAATTAGGCAAAAAAAATGACAGTCTGGTCAGTCTGAAAGTCTGGTCAACCATTTCCGGTCTTGGTGATCTCCAGACAGTTCGAAAATTCTTGTATTAGCCAAACTAAAAACACACCAATGTTCTTGTAAATAGTATGATACAAGTAAAAATTATGATAATTTGAACAACAGATGTTTTTTTTGATGCAAAACATGCTGACCCAAAATTCCAATAGTTTTGTATTTTTCAAAGCCCCTACAAATGTTATAATAATATTTCACATGAAAACATCCTGATTGTATTGATAATTTTAATACTGTAGAATACTTTATTTTCGCTTGGAATTAATTTTCACTATTTTCGCTGAAGGAATGATTCAGTGAAAATATAATCCAGCGAATATACCTTTTTTCCTATATTTTACATTAAACCCATCAAAAATCAGTGAAAATAAATTCTATACAAAACACCCAAAAAGTCTTTTCAGCGAAAATAAATTCCAGCGAAAATAAAGTATTTCACAGTATCTAGAGAACTACATGTATTACAGATGGAGTTATGCAGCTGAGCCAATGCTTTATTAAGTTTATCATATAAGTAACATAACTCATTTATCAGAAGAATATATATTGTCATGTGACCTAATTAATCTTGCTAGCTTTACAAATTCACAGAAAATAGCTGTAGATACGATAGATGCGAAAAACTGTCACTTTTTCACGGTCATTTACGGTCATTGTTGCCATACAGATATAATATACATAAATTTACATAAATTCGCCTATTTCCACAGATATCTCAAAAACCACTCATCAGATTTCAATGAAACCTAACACGTATGTGGTCTAGTATAATTCACAGATGTGATTAGTTTGAGGTCGGAATCCATGAATATGATTAACTAAATTTGCATAAATTGATCAATTTTATGATATCTTGTTTAAAAGACTAATTTGGTTTATTCCCTATTTCAATTCTCTCAGTACATGACTGTTCTTTCTTAGCTTTCTTTGAATCTAAAATGTTGGTTAAGACATTATTATTAGGTTCGTTTAGTCCAACTTTACGGTATAAAAAAAAAATTATGAAAAACGCACAGACACAAATCTCATAAAATGCATTTCACTGTCATTTTTGGAATTTTAAATATCTCAGTAAATTACAATAACCTTTATCATGAGAACTTCACACCATACAAGAGATTTTTTTAAACAGGGGCACAGCGCCCTCATGCCATGGCCAAGTGCTTTCTTACCCTGGGGAGCAGATCCTCTGGCAACCATAAAATTGTGATTGACCGGGGATCACATGTGGCCACAGTCTTCAACTGTGACCTGTCTGACAGTAATTTTGGTCCCAAGGAAGCCACAGAATGCTCCATTTTAACTTAGAATTACCAAAAACTCCACACCCTGGTAGAGGGAACCCTGTATCCCCCACTTGGTGGTGCCTCTGAATTGCAGTGCTCCCTCTTGTAGTTTTTTTCTAGAAAAACCCTCCATACCATTGGTTGTATATTCCCATAGTCATCTCCTATTTATCATCATATGCATGTAATGCAGGGAAATTGCTGTTGTCAGTCGGGGTTATGCATAATAATCCGCTGACGCTCCCAATTGAGCTGAAATGTTTATCCCTTGCGTCAATAATTCGTCAGACAGATGCTTGTTTGCATACTGATCCAGACAATTGTAAAAACAGTACATGACTTAAAACAAATCTCTTTTGAAAGAAAAGTGCACTTTGTGCAACATTGTGACCGGATTTTCCACGGCAAACATGATCCTAATCATTTAAAATGAAAGGAAGTATAAGTTTCCTATGTCCTCATGATGTGTTAGTACATGCATTTACGTGTATTATCCTAAGCCGATGTGATCAGTCTACTGTGTACAGCTGTTCTACCTTTTCTGATTGCAAATTAAAATGGAAAGACTGAGCTGTGTATCTTAAGTGTACTATATTTTTAATTATTTAAGTCTATTGAGCCTCACAAATTGAGATCGTGAGCGTTTTATTAATTTTGCATAAATGTAATATGAAAATTTCCAGGTTAAGTAGGCTTGTGAAAATACAACACATTTGTCGGAGATAATCTTCACAGGATCATGGTTAATGTAATTGCAAATAATTGCTTAGTGGGTATAGGCCAGGGTAATGTTCCATTTATCTACAAAAATGATGGCAATGTTATGTGTAAACCTCTTTGATTTGTACATACACATGGATGCATCTGCTATCATTTCTCAGACATCTTACAAACACTAGTTTTTACTACCTTAAACTAAATTATGTTTGGGTACTTAGAGTAGTAACACATTCTCATTTCCGGTCCAGTTAAACTTAAAATACACCACAAATATTTACTTTTGAGATATAATTGTTGATGCGTATTGGTTCTTGGATATTTCAGCTTCGTCGTCCTATACTTTGTTTAGTTATTCGGACTTCCGAGATTGCGTAAAAACGGATAGTTTCGCGATTTTGTCACGTAAAATACCTTTGCTGAACCATTTGCTGAGAGATGGCTGTTTAGGTACAAATTTAGTTGCAGCATTAGGTAATCAAACAAAAAAAGACTTTGCACTAAAATATGTTTGAGATCTATATGTTGCTTCACGTGTTTATTTGCCTTCAATTACGTTTCGGTGGTTGGCACTGCCGCTCCTGGAATCTTGCTGATAATGTTTCGTCCCAATTCCGTAGCTGTCACAGAGAAAATTCAAAAAGTCTATAATGTTTTCAACTTTTAACATGGCAGACATGTAATTAGCATAACAATGTTTTTGACCTTTGTCGCCATTTTCATCTATCTTTGACTATTTCCACATCACAGATGCATGTAACTAAAACATTTGAATGGGCGTTGTGATCGAAATTCACGTGCATTAAATTGCGTTTTTTAGAGTTTCCCAAGATTGTTTCAAAAACTGCAGTTGCACCAGAGATAACTATAACATTGAAACAGTCATTGTGAAATTCACATGTATTAAATTGCGTTTTTTTAAGTCACATACCATAAATATTGTTTTTTAAGTCGCGTACATGTACCGTAAATTGTGTTTTTTAAGTCACTTGCCATAAATTGCGTTTTTTAAGTCGCGTACCGTAAATTGTGTTTTTTAAATCAAGTGCCGTAAATTGCGTTTTCCCTCAAATTCGTGTTTGATATTCGTATCCTAATCCCCCACCAGAGTAATCAGTAATTAAATAATACAAACTGTGTCACTATCCAAATTTTGAAATGCATTTATTTTCGCTGTAACTTTAACTGTAATATTTACGAAACATTTATTTAATATGTTCTCTATGGATGTTTTCAATGATAGAATTATATACCGTAGATAAGGAAAAATTAAAAACAATTTCAATGGCATGAATTTAAAAAAAACCTATGGGCCCGAAAACTAGCAAAGACGGGAAATAAATGTTTATTATTGTCGCCATGTTTATTTATCCTTGACTATTCCTTCACCAGCGAGAATAACATCACGACTATTTGTTTCCCTGGTGTCTCAAATAAAACTGAATTCATATCTTTCATTCAAATTTATAAAGGTTTGTGTCATATTGGGCTTCACTTGCCAATATTGATTGGGTCACAATTATTGTAGCTATCGCCGAGGTAAATAGTAAATGAGATTCCTTGGTTATTATTTTATATTATCTTGATTTGCCAATTTTTGTTGTATAAATTAATCAATTCAAAGAAAAAAATCGACAAGCATTAAATTTGTTACTTGCAAATAAAAATTCCAATAAATTTACCAATGTCAACATTATGGTATCTCTGATGCTGAAATGCACATGATAATATTAAGAATACACATTACTTGACTTTTACACAGTTATTTGTTGTTGGCCATTGTGCACCAAAAAAAGTATTCTTATCTCGTTCGTCCATCCCTGTTAGTTAGAAATTAGCCTGAAGTTAAGCCCTTTTGTTGTAAACTTTACATTTTGAACTCATTCTTAAAAAGATGATTCCAAAAAGGTATCTTTGATAGTTTTCCTTCAGATTTGTGCTTTCCATGACAATAACATTCCATTCTTAATTTTAGTGAAAGTTGTCATAATTTTTGGTGAAAAAAAAATGTTATTTTCAACATTTTTCTGAATACTGCTATTCCCTTTGCTTTGATATTTGACATATACATACCGTACAATCAATGGTGAACTACTATTGTGTTTGATTGTTGTTTGATTTTTGGAATATTAGTGAATATTTTTGTGATATTTTCATTTTCTTTTTGAAAACGCCTAGCACAGTTACTTTTATGCATTATAGGTAGGTTATTTTGTTGTCACAATTATATAAAAAAAAGAATCCAATTTTCATGAAAATTTAAAATAAAAACACTATTTTATAAACTAATAAATAAAAAAATGCACTCTGAGTTTTGCAAAGTAAATCGACCAGACTCTTGTTGTATACTTTACCATGGTCCTAAAAAGCATATATGAGGTATGTGCTTCGTCATCCTCGAAGAAATGTATATAAATTCTTTAGTTGTTTGTCAAGTACAGTAAATTAGATTGTGTGAATGATGGCTGTACATTACACTAAAACACAATTCATCAAAATGCGTAATTTAAGACAGATGCGGCCATTTTGGCCTCTGGATTGCGTCAGTTTCCATTTTAATTTAAAATTTGCAAAAATTAAGAGTTAAAGCTAAAAACGCTCAGCAAGGTAAGGTATGAGCTCCACATCATGCTTGTTTCTATGGAAACATACCTTGTCCAAGTGTTAATACATGTACCTTTGTGACGACCATTGTGGGTTTAAAGGGGGTCATAATCGATACTAATTGGTCTCTTAGAAAGTCAATCATAAAGATCAGTCTTGCATTTTGAGAGAATTACTGTATTGAAGTGTCTTATTTGCAGACATCTTTGTTGGTATCCTAGTAACAGAAAAAACATCTGCATCATTTCTGGAGACGAAACATGCTTATATGCTGTTTTGCCAAACTTGTGACAATTTACAAGTGAGTTGGAGCCCAATTAAAGAACTTAATGAACATTTGAGACGATTTTTTTTGTAATGACTAAATATTGGCAACTAGGGGATCACAGACAGAGTTCTCCCATATTTCACCTGATGCTCCCTCTGTACATTTAATACATTATCTCAAACAAATGTTCTTACTTCTATTTATTCTAAAAAATAACTGATTTTCACTTGAAATTTGCATAACATTGGTGAAATGAAACAAAAACGTATTTTATAATTTTTTTCTTTTTTTTATTTTCATCCAGTATCTCTTAGATGCCCCATCGATTCTTACTCTGAAGGAAGTCCTTAATAAAGCTGTTATGCTCCATGGTAACGGAAAAAGAGATGGCACATCGCCAGAAGGAACTGATGAAGAAGATGGAATGGAAGAAGATGAGATTGAAGAGGAAGACCATGAGGCAATGATGATGTCTGATGACGACGATGATAATACATTTACAACCAAGTGGGAATTAGATATAGCCAGGAAAAAGGTTAATAATATATTTAGTTTGTGCGTCTGTCAAACTTTAATTGAATTTTGATCCAATGCTTCTCAATAATGCTGGCAGACAGGATGAGACGACAAGTAGTTTTAAGGGACGATCTCATATTCACGTATTCGAATATTCAAACCTGGGTTAACTCAAACTGCCCGAAGATGAAACCCAATTTCCTGATTTTCAAAGTCTAGACAATAGAGTGTCCCAGGACAACTGCATGAATTTGCATAAAAAACCCGATTCAAACGCTCTCATTCACACCCGCCAAACTGTTGTTTATTTTTAGGATTGATTTTTTTTTACGTAGATTTGTCAAGACCAGGTGGTTGTCCCTAAAATGTGTTGACTTGGTGTGCAAGCTTCATTTTACAGTGCGTCTCATCGAAATAAACCCCTCTTCGAAATACCAGTGAAAACAGTGCTGAATAAATCAATTGTTTTGTCAGCTGACAATGTTATGGTGGTCTGAGCATTACTGCTGACTTTATTTTTGAGATGCTTTCACAGAAAACAATGTTGTCATTATCAATTTATTAATTTCATTGTATTTTGATAACTCAGTCTCACAGACTTAACAAATTTAACCAAAAAATGTTCTCGCTGACTTTATGAACTGACATGGGCAGTAAACTGATCACACTTGTTGCAGTTAAACAAAGGCCATTTTATTTTTATGAATGCTTTGACTGATTATGTTCAAATTTTATATTTTCACTAAACATCAGATTATATACAGATTTATTGATTCAAAAATGATTCAAAAATCAGGCGCAGTTTCTTATTTCCGGTTTCCGTTTGTGACGTCTCTAACATTTTTTCCGAAATTCTGCAGCAGATATCGATGAACTTTTGGCAGGTTGATGAACAAGTCTCTGTTGAACATGCACATAATTTTTTTCTAAATCTGAAAGTCAAAAGTGGGTCTTTTTCATGATTTTCATCCAAAATTACCTCTCCCAACAACACTGAGAAAACAACTGAACATGCTCAGAATAAATAATTAGGTTTAGATGGTAATGCTAGAGTTTTCAGTGATATCATGGCCTTGATCTAAATCAGTGACAGAAATGAACCACAGTCTGTTTTTTGTGAAAAATTAACGCTGAAATCTTGAAAAAAGTGGTCAGGAATGTTGTTGTATATTATATCTTTAAACTGTAAAAATTGCATTCCATTAAAGAGTCATCACTGAAATACCTGGTCACAAAGTTGAAGATCAGTGAAATCACTTTGCAGTTACTGTTTATAAATCTTGGCCAGGCACATTGACACATGTGGTCTAAATATAGCTTCAGTTGTCAGGGCTAGTGGGTCATACCATTACGAATCTCAGTGGAAACTGTAGAGGGGTGTCAGGGCTACATTTTGATGGGAATTATAATGGTGATAGTGAAACAAACCCAGGTCCTGGTGATATACAAAGACTTGAATTAACAAAGAAGTCCATTTGTTATTAAAGGTACATCAAGGTTTGCGCAGATTTATGAATGCAGTTTCTAGAGTTTAGTTGCACTTCTGTACTCTGAGATTTTGGACTCGTGTCAATGGAAGTTTTCAGTTATCAGTACAATACTATAGATTAAGGGAAGTCACTTTATGATGAGTTTTACCCACATAGAGTACATATTAATTTACCTGTTTGCAGATTTTCCATGTATTATTTTAACATGAGTATTTTATAATTAAATGACGGGGACTGTGACATTTATGCCTTGTATATTGAAACAAAATAAACAAAGAAAGAAAATCAGGTGCCACAACAGTTTAGTTTCTGCCTTCAGAAGATTCCTACAGCCATATACATTTTTTGGTACATGTACAGACATTCCCATTCTTGAATCATTTTCTTCCCAGCAGTCATCAAGCTGACCTAACTTGAATTTTAGAATTCAAGTGGGACTCAGTTTCTCTACAAAATTGTTTTAATTCTGCAGCTGGTTGTTTGTGTATAAACCACTACTGTGAAATACTTTATTTTAGCTGAAATTAAGTTTCGCTGAAAAGACCTTTTGGGTTTTGTATGGATTTTATTTTCACTGATTTTTGACGAGTTAAATGTAAAATATAGGAAAAAAAGTATATTCGCTTGATTTTATTTTCACTTAACCATTCCTTCAGCGAAAATAGCTAAAATTAATTCCAAGCGAAAATAAAGTATTTTACAGTATTTAAATATGTGTGTTATCATGCTCATTTGTGCTTTTAACAGAAACTATGGGCTTTGAAAGAAGCAGAAATCAGAGATGAAATGAAAAAGAGAAAACACATTGTAGCCTGTTCAGAACCCATGGAGTTGGAGGTACGGCAAGGTAGGTCTGACAGTTGATATTCCATAATATTTGTTACACTTTGACCTCAGTTGAGATAGATCAGGGAAATTAGTCTTGAATAAACCATAAACAATTGTTAGTATTGGAATTGAAAATAAAATCTACCAAAGATTCTAAATTGTAAATTGACATCAAGTTACAAACATCAAGTTTTAATTAATTAACTGTTAACCACACTTTGAGTTACGGGAAACATTAAACAAAATAACAAATTTATGTTGCTCGTAACTCGAAGTTCGGTTAGCTGTTATTTAAAGTTCAAGTTACTAAATGGCAATGTTTAACAAAAACAAAAATATATATTACCCGTAACTCAAGGTTCTGTTAACTGCTAATTGAACAGTGAGTTACAATTTGGGCGTGGTTTCTAAAATATGGGTGTGGTCATTTTTGTAACTTGATGTCGGCAACTCAAACAAATTACCATCTGTATTTATTCTACCAAATTCTCTACACTCGTGTAACTGGTCTCTGGCACATAAGTTGGATAGTTTTCAGATTTTTTATATACTTTGCTCTGTACCCGGTACTTCATTTGGATGCTATTTTGAATCTCTTAAATGCTCTCTGGTTTTTCATTTTCAGCGTCCGACCAGGAACAAGAACAAGCTCAACAGATCTTCAGTAATACAGCGGCGTCAGGTGTCCTCACAAATGACCTTGTTAGGATATTGGAGTCTGAACAGGTAATGGCTTATGAAGAGATGTAATTGGCTGTATGAAAATAAGCTTGAGATAGTCGACAACACATCTGGTGTTAAATGTACAATCAATTTGATTGGCTAAATACCGTTACTTGTCATTTTTTAAAAGTCGATAAGCATTATCAAAAATCAATGATGCAAAACCTGCTATTTAAATAAAATTTGTGTATTAAAAACTTCTGAAATTTTGAAATATTAAAAAAAATGATATAAATTATATGAATTTAAAAAAATAAATATATACATGCCATACAATGGATTTTAATCTGATTGTGGAAATGCATTGTATATTATAAATCGCCACTATAGAAGTTTGTTATGACATCACCACTTTATTTTATCACTTCATGATTTGAACCTCTGTTTTCGCTTTATCTCACACATTATCTTGCACAGTGCTTTGGAAGTTGAATAATGCTTGGAGAATTCTGTTGGCCAGTTGGTGTGTGGCACAGTGCTATGTAAGTTGCTTGTAGCCAGATTTGCTTATTGCATCCACAAGAAATAGTCTGAATTGTGTTTTATTTATTCTTTCAGGAGCTGGGGCTGACAGCGGAACCTGTAGACGATAATATTTACAAATGGAGTGTGAAATTATTTGATTTTGAAGCTGACAGGTATCTCATTTCATATAATTGATACATTTCATATACCGTATTTATCCGGGTAAAAGCCCAGGGTCCTGAACATGGAAAATTGCCAAAAAATAGGGGTGGTCCTAAGCCTGGACATCCCTTACAAAAAAAAACGAAAAGTCATGAAAATTGACAACACGCAGATAGAACAGCGAATAAAAACATGCAACAGAAATAAATGAACAATATGCAACATTAGAAGTAAAAAAAAATTAATGTATTGCTTATAATGTGACAAGTAAACCAGAAGTAATAAAAATCAACAGTGAAGATTCAATCGAATTTAGGATTTCCCCTCCGAAAAATAGGTGTCCAATACGTGTGAACTCAAAATGAACTAAAATGTCAGGTTAAACTGCGTAAACTTTTTTCCAGTTTTGTTAAATACCGGATCAACAGTCATACAAGAACAATAATAATTTACAAACACAGTAAAAATTACGAAAGTTCATAGAAAAAAATTCTCAGATCTCTATTTGTACGTTAATCGCCATCTTCTTCAATGTCAGAACCCTTAAAGTCCAAGTCTGCGTCACTGTCATCGTCAAACAAAATCCCTACAGCTTCGTCTTAAAGTTCGTAAATGTTGTCGCACACAATTTGGCCTTAGCACTTTTAGTCAAATGATTTCGCTGTCTATCAGCTTGGCACTTTTAATTCACATCTAATCACAATAAAAAGACAGAAATGCAATAGCTGTTATGAAAGATGGTAAAAAAGTTGACAGTCTTCGGTGTGACATTGCAAAATTGTTGTCCCTAGTTATGGATTCGCAAGCTGCTATCAAATATTTTATAAAGCCAAAATAACGTGATTTCAACCACTCTCCCAGGTATAGGTTGCTACAATATTGCAACATTGGTTTCATTGTCGATGACGCTAAAGCCGAACGAGTGTGATACTTCCATTGCGGGTCTCCATCTATACTGTAAGATTTGCTTGAATCGTTTATAAGGAAGCACGACAAATTTTAAAAAGAGAACTACCGTTTCTGCTTTAATATACATTTTTGTAGACTTGCTGTCTAATATGATTCAGATAAAAATTCTTGAAAAATAAATGTAAATTATGTGAACAGTGGCGAACGCGCTGCTCTGTATGCAGAATGCGAAATTACCTATTTTGCTGTCACAGCTATTTTGAGTTCACCCCTCGTTTTACGCAATTGACAATTATTTTTCAAGAATTTTTATCAGGATCACAACAGACTGCAAGGAAGTCAACTCTTAATACAACGAACAAAAATAGGTTTTTGTTATTTTTTTATTTCAAGTGTAGTAAAAGACCCCTGGGCATATGCCAGGACATTTGTTTATTGTATCAAAAGTGGGGGGTGTGTGTTTGCCCTGACGTGGGCTCTTACCTGGATAAATACGGTAATTGATACATTTCATATAATTGATACATTTCATATAATTGATACATTTCATATAATTGATACATTTCATATAATTGATACATTTCATATAAATGATACATTTCATAATAATTGATACATTTCATATAAATGATACATTTCATAATAATTGATACATTTCATATATACATGTTATTGATACATTGTTGCAATTAGATACTGCCTAGGACCATGAAATAGGCCTCCATAAATGACATTAGTTTATGTTGTAAAAAACCAAGGCAAATTGTTACATGAATCAATATGCCATTTTTTTCACAACAGTTGTCATGTGTCCTTCCTTGGATTGAGGTGAATTAGTTCAACATTAAGTGGGTGTCCAAAATTACATTAAATCTCACCATCTTATGCAGTATTTCATAATTTATTCATATTCATAATTAAGCAACAAGACTGATTTAGCAACTTCTTATGTTTATTTATCCAGTAATATTTCAAAGGATCTAGAGGCTGTACATTCTAAGTTTGGATACAATTATATCCAACTGGAGATGGACTTTGCTATAGATTTATTTCCATTTTATCCACCACTAGTTAAAGTGATTAGGCCACGACTGCAGGTAAGACGTCACTTTGAAAGAGTACCATCAAATTATATTTATATTCGGACTGGTATTTATCCGTTTAACTGCTGTAAAAATGTTGATAAATCAGTTTGTACTCTTTTATTAGCTCCGCTGTCGACTTTGTCGAGCGGAGCTTATCATATGAGTGATTGTCCATCATCGCCGTCGTCCGTGTCAATGTTTTACTTTTTCGACTTCTTCTTGAAAACTACAAGCCTGAATGCTTTGATACTTGGTGTATATGTACCTTGGGTAGACTTCTCTCAGATTTGTTCATTTCATGATGATATCTTTAATTCTCTAATTTTGGTGAATATTTTTGTCATTTTTGGTAAAAAGTGATATTTTCGACTTCTTGTTGAAAACCGCAAGTCCAATTGCTTTGATATTACATATATAGGTACTAAATGTGGACCTCTCTCAGATTTGTTCATTTTGTGATGATATCTTCAATTCTCTGATTTTGGTGAATATTTTTGTAATTTTTGGTAAAATGTGATATTTTCAACTTCTTGTTAAAACCTGCAAGTCCAATTGCTTTGATATTACATGTATAGGTACTACATGTGGACCTCTCTCAGATTTGTTCATTTTGTAATGATATCTTCAATTCTCTAATTTTGGTGAATATTTTTATAATTTTTGGTAAAAAGTGATATTTTTGAATTCTTGTTGAAAACAGCAAGTCCCATTGCTTTGATACTATACATATTTTTCATTTTCTAATGATATCTTCAATTCTCTAATTTTGGTGAATATTTTTATAATTTTTGGTAAAAAGTGATATTTTTGAATTCTTGTTGAAAACAGCAAGTCCCATTGCTTTGATACTATACATATTGTTCATTTTCTAATGATATCTTCTGTTCTTTAATTGAAATGTGCATTGCTAACAGCGGAGCTATCTCAGCCGACTGGCTGCTTGTTTAGAAATGTATTATTATTTTCTCTGCAGGATTCCATGATGCAAAGAGTAACTAATATGGAGATGTTGAAATTGTCATTTTGGTAAATAATTTTTTTTATTTACATTAATTTGGGGGCTGTATAGAAGAAGCAGCAATACACAACAAAACGGACAGCAAATGAACAATTGGAAATTATCTTTTATATTATTCAGACAGCAAAATAGTTAGCTTGCTGACCAATTTGGCAGACAACAATGTTACTCACTTACATGTATCAGCACTACCCTTCTATTAACCTTTTCACCACCAGACATTTTCGGCTAAATTTTTCTGCATTTTGTTCCAATATTCTTCAATATTCCTGGAAATGAACTTTAATTTTGGAGCCAACAGGCACTATTTGAATAAATTTGAATGAATCAGTTTTTACTCAAAAGATTTTACTCTTTTTGTCCCAATCTTCTGCAGGAAAGTGCAGACTATAAACAGGACTATCACTATAAACTGTGAATTTGTGATAAAAAGAGGAAACTGGTGGTGAAACGATTAACCCAAACACATACATGTATATTTTATAACAACGGCAGTGACTAATGCCATCTTTGGATGTGCACGACTAGTTCTTGCCTGCAGTCACTCCACAAAACAGAACCAAATGAAAAAGCCTTGACACTATAATACTTCAACCCATTGCAGGAATCCTACGAAAGATATGAAGTCTGTATTGTCAGAAATCAAGGGTTATTTACAGAATTGGGCAAGGTATGTTCAAACTATTTGCTCGTTTAAGGGGGTGACCTTCAGAAATTCTGGGAAGGAGGTCTGGAAAACAAAACTCTACTGAGATTATCAACAAAAAAAAGAGAAAAAATTCAAATCCAGCTCAAAAGTAATCAACAGGGAATCATTTTGCAGTTATGTTTCCCCTCCAAGCACTTCTTATGGTGAACCTAATACTACACTGAAGTTTATTTGCTTTGATTACACTCCAGTCAATACAATCACTGTACTGTCGCCATAACTTATTATCAACTCACTACTTGTTAGTCCCCGTTTCAGGCGCAGCCTGAATGGCAGACTATTAATTCTTATTTAAATTTTCCATCTGTGACATCTCTAACATTTTCTCGGAAATTCTGCAGCAGATATCGATGAAACTTGGTAGGTTGATGAACAAGTCTCTGTTGAATATGTACATGATATGCACTGAAGATTTTCATCCAAAATTACCTCTCCCTACTGCACTGACAGAGCAACTGAGCGTGCTCAGAATAAATAATTAGCTCAGATTGTAATGCTAGGGTTTTTGACTCCCGTGTGCGAAGCACAAAAGGGAGTCTTTGCAGTTACCCTGTCTGTATGTCTGTATGTATGTATGTATGTATGTATGTATGTATGTATGTATGTCACTTTTTTTGTTCCATCGTTATCTCAAAAACCACTAATCAGATTTTGGTGACACTTGGTACATAGATGCTCTGGGATAATCCGCAGAGTTGATTAGGTTTTGGTAAAAATCTATGAATGTTAATTACCTAATTTGCATAATAATTAGCTGATTTTTAGCTGTTCCAAGACTGTTCCACTGCTACCTGAAGAACCACTCATTGGATTTTGATGAAACTTGGCACATGGATGCTCTGATCTAGTGCACAGATTTGATTAGTTTTGGGTAAAAATCTGTTAATATTATTATTTACCTAATTTACATAATGATTAATCAATTTTCGGCTTTTCCACTGATATCTCAAGTACTAATCATAACATTTCAATAAAACTTGGTACATAGATGTCATATGACACTGCACAGACCTGATAGTTTTTAGGGTAATATCAGTACATATTAATTACCTAATTTGTATAATTAATTAATTTTCAGCTTTTGATATTTCGAGTAGTAATGATC